TTCTCAGTTAACAGCTCAGCTCGTCCAGCTTCTCTGCTGACTGCTCAGCTCGTCCAACTTCTCAGTTAACAGCTCGGCTCGTCCAAATCGTCCCCAAGCTATCCAGCACGTCAACAGATCGCCTAGCTGCAAATATGGCCTAGCTCCCACTTGTTTTAATATGAACTACGAATGGCTTGATCCCTTTCTAAGGGTACGTAGGCAGTCTTTCACAAGACGCAGCTATAAAACAAATAAACTCTATGTTTATCGCGAGAACGGCCTAGCTCCCGGCCTTCAACGCAATGAGAATGTTTTTCCCTTATCAAAGAACTTACAAATATACTTTGTTGAAATTCGTGCATCAACAGTTTATATGCAGCAATTGCTAGGGTTTGTGGAAATAAACATTTTAGTTATAAACATCATCATGAAACAGTTTATACAACTAGTGTAGAGATTATACGATGGTTATAAACCGCGTTTAAAGTTCTATATACCATACTAGCTTTTTTAAAAATTGTTTATAACTAGTTAGTGTAGTCATGTTATCAACCACTTGTCCGATTTTTGATAGGATCCTTTTTATTTTCTAAATTATAATCATTATCTACTCGAAAAATAATCAGAGATGACAACGGATGATTCATGTGTGAGCCTCAACGACCCTCTTTCTCCGCTATTCTTCTACATATGTATCGCAAATAATTAATAATCATTCATAGAAATAATTCTATGTCTTACATCACAAATTATTAGACTTTTAGACGCTGGAAAGTTGCAACAAAACTTGGCGTTTTACAAACTTCGAACAACCCGATCAGGACTCTCAATTTACATGCAATGTTTTATTTATTCAAACATTATTTAGTTAACTGAACAACTTTGGAGATACGTACCTTGTTGGCTTGTTTGTTGCCATCACCACAAGATTCCTATACTAAAACAAGATAAGATTCGCGTTTGAACAAAAAAAAAAAACAAAAATCTTGGAGCCCTCGTGATATCGTTGTCTCTATCATAAATGGTAACTACTACTCCATTCCTAAAAGATTGATTTTCTAGATTTTTCACACAAGACATAATAAAGTTTTAATTTTTTAATTAGTTTAAAATTGCTTTATGAGTGAAAAGAGAAAATTTAGACAATTACTTACATGACATGTGGCAAAAAGTATAAAGTAAAAAAATCATTTTAATTTTTTAATCTAGAAAATCAATTTTTTAGGAACAAAACTAAAACTCAAAGCATCAATTTATTAGGAAAAGAGGGAGTAATAACTCTGCATATACGATTTTCTTAGGTTCCCAAGGGATTGAAACACTGGGTCACGTTTTTTTTTAAGTTTTTCTTTTTAAAAAAGCATGATTTCACTAATTTTTTTATCATTCAGAATATTTATCAAATTTTAATGCTTTTATGTTTTTACGGTTTAAAAAAAAAGTGATTCCGCTATATATTACTAGCATATTAAAAAAAAACTTATTTAATCTAGTAAAAATAGTTTTTAGCCTTTTTAATCAATTTATAAAGAAAATTTGGGTTTCTAATAATTATTCGGTTATTTCGTTATTGTATTATTTATCTGATATATAAGTCAGAGTCCAAATCTTTAACATCTGTAAAAATAGTAGACTAATTTTATTTTTTTTTGGTAGGATGGGGGGACTAAGTCCCCCACAATTTATTGAAAAATAACTAAAAGAAAATTACACACGAACATAACGTGGGCGCGTGCACCCGATCGCATCGTCAAAAACAATAGAGTCCACCACATCCGGTTTAGACTCAAGCATATGAAAACCTAAAGGAAGAGAAAACGCATAGTTAGCTAACCCGTCCGCGAGACGGTTAGCCTCCCTATACACGTGAGAAACGCGGACTATCCAGTCACGCGACAGAAAGCCATAGCACAAACGTACTAGGAATGACAAGGGATGAGAGTCATTAATCCCTGTCTTGAGAAATCCCACCACAATTTCCGAGTCCACCTCCAACTCAAGCCGTGTAATCCGCTTCTCCCAAGCTATATAGAGGCCATAGTACACGCCCCATAACTCCGCCAACGGGGCTGAGCATACACCTATATTCAGAGCAAAACCACCACGCCAACTCCCATCTCCTTCTCGCAATACACCTCCCGCTGTCGCCAAACCGGGGTTGCCACGGGACCAATTTGACATCGGTAAAGTCTAGGAACTGAAGACTGGAGTATCTAGATGCAGAAAATGAGGAAAAAATTTCCACCATGTTCAAATTAGAATAAGAAATTAAGAACATGACACCTTTATACGCAAATATAAATCGGTCCGAAAATTGAGACAATATCTGAGAGATTCAGACTCACACCAACTGTATATATTCAATATTTATTGTAGTTGAATAGAAGTTGGGTACATAGTAGTCAATATTGGTGGCTTATATTTAATAACTAAACTATACGTTACCGTACAACTAGAAACAAAACCGTAAGACTTTTCACGAAATCGAATTTTCCTTGTTCTATTGACTTTTTTGCTAATAAATAAATTCAATGTATATTGCTTAGAAAAGCTTGCAATATTTCAATATTTCAAAAGTCTGACTTCGATCTAAAAACTTGACGTACCTACAGTCTACAGAGTCTATTTTATTTAAGAACCCGGACTTAGTTATATATTATTAAAAAATTTTTTAACTAACTATAACTATTTGGTTGAAGAGAAAATGATTTTTAGTTTCAAGATTTATCAGCATACAAGAATAAATGAAAATGTCTTTTACCAAAAAAAAAAAAAAAAAAAAAAAAAAAAATGAAAATGTCACTATTTAGATTAGCAAAATTTCTTGTCCGTTTTTAGTATTGGTTCATGTAGTTCAAGTGAAGAAAGTGAGAGATTAGTTAAACTTCTTTCGTGAATCATAAATGTTCTCATATGATATTAATGGTACACCAAGTTGATCCCACATGACACTGTCATTTTCTTTCAAGCAACCTACCCGAAAGATTCACTTCTCCACCACCTTTTACTACTTGAATCAACTCGATGGCTACAAGCGAAAGATCATGCAACTTTGGATGTCGTTCGATTTCGTATAACGTTTCAAATTTCTTGTGAGTGAGCTACTAATACTATCGAATATCGACTTGTTACTTCATTGAGTTCTTTTAGATTCTTAATTAGACTTCATAAGTTCAAATATCCAGATACATCTATATACAATATGGTGTTATCATCGTCATTGAGTTCTTTTAGATTCTTATTTATAAAAGTAATTACGAGAAGACGACATATTTGGAAAGGCATTATGAAAACATATATGCTATCGTTTTGTAAGCATTATACAGGCCATTCCGATGTTGTCAAAGCCCTTAATCGTGATTAGAAATTGTGCTCCTCTTATTTATTATTCGAAACGTGAAAAGGTCAAACTCTAACTGGTGCAAAAGAAAGAATGTCAACAACTTTTAATTTAGGGATGGCAACAGTTTTAATTTAGTTAAATTAAGTATTAAAGAACTCAATTTTTTATTTTATAAAGTTTGAACTTTTCACGAGAATTTGGTACGTATCAAAATTCTAATCAGATACATGTTAAATTAAATATTGAAGAATTCGTTTTTATTATATAAAATTTGATATAAAAAAATATAATTTATGAGATTACAATATTTTAAAATACGTGAAGTGATCTTGGTTTAGGGGCAAATGATAAGTCCACAAAAGACAGATACCATCACACCAGGGATCGAGTCCCCGACTCTACAATTTAATTGTAGAAATTAGGCTAATGGGCCGGCCAGTTGTGGCCCAAATGTTGAAAAAAAAAAAAAAAAAATTTAAAATACTTAAAATTATTACTATAGGCGACAATTAAAATATTATAGCCATAATATTTAGGATCCTAAGCCATTGCTTATCGTTGGACCAGTAATTGATTGTGTGTATTAGTTTCTAATAGGAGTGAACCCATAAGATTTAGGACCCTAAACTATTGCTTATCCATTTATCCATGGACCAACCATTGATTATGTGTATTAGATTTTGATAAAAGTGAACCCATAAAATTTAGGACCGTAGGCCATTACTTATCCATGGACCAGCCATTGATAATGTGTATTAGTTTCTGATAAGAGTGAATATGTATATTGTTTACCCTCACATAGTCACATGCGCATTAACTCGTTATTTACAAGATTTTGAACTTTCTTTGGTGCAACAAATGTAAAACCAGCCCACAAAAATAAGAGAAAATCAGTCCATATCAAATAACACAATAGTTTTTTTTTTTTTGGTAGAATCAAATAACACAATAGTTTACAAACTAACTCGTTTCCTTGTCAAAAAAAAAAAAAAAAAAAACTCCAAACAAATTTTATGGATGTAAACTGGGAATACGTTAAAGTATTTTCATTAACATTCTGTTTATTATACAGAATATTATAATTGGTTGGAATTAGATAAAATATCTTTTAATTTGCTTTCTGAACGACATAATATATGTTTTTGGATGATGAAACTTCCGTACTAATCACTAAGGCATCAGGCATGTTACATTTGGCAGCTGATCTTTTGTAAGAAAATTTCTATTACTTGACTCATTGTTTTTAACATATTTCAATATCACTTATTTGGTTGATTGATACATTATATTATCCGTTTACAGTTTAATAAAGTCTGAAAGAAATTGTTAAAAACAAAGGACATAATATATTTTCTACCTAAATTTATTTTTAAACATAATATATTTTCTACCTAAATTTATTTTTATATGTCTCCCTAATAATATTTTTTTGTCGGTGGGATTCTTTTTCTTTCATTTCTCTCTTTTGTTAATTTACAATTCCATCATCCACTTGGAGGTCCCAAACAAAAAAAAAATAACCTTCAAGTTATGGGCCAACATAAATTAGGCCTAAAGAAAAAATGACCTCAATATTTAAACTTGTCCCGTCACCGTTAATGGGCCACATAAATTGGGCCTAAACAAAACGACTTCAATACTTAAACATCAACCATCACCGTCACGTCACTGCAAAGATTAGATCTTTCCGGAAGAAGAGAAGAATGAGGCCGATGCAGCTTGACATGTTATCGGAGATGGATGATGCAGGTTCTTCAATGGCCATGGACGTTGATGATCTCGAAGCTATGGAGATTTTTAGCGAAGGAGGAGGTGCTTCAGAGAGTAAGCTCGCCGACGCTGATTTCTTCAACAAATTCGAGGATGATTTCGACGATGCCGGTATCAACTGATTCCGGTTAAAATTTCTTCTCTATGATTTCAATTTTCTTCGGAAATCGATTAGTAAGTGTATTAGGGATTTCAAATTTATCTGTTTGTGATGTGAAAAACTTATTTACGATTCCTAAAATATTTGATTTCTAAGCTCAGGATTTAGTTTGATTTGGGTGTTATTGTGATTTGTGTGATTGTTTTTTTGTTAATTCTCTGCACAAATTTAGAATGTGAGATGTGAATAGACATAAGTTTTGGTAATGGCTTAAGATTTGAGTGAATTGATTCATAAGGTTAAATCTATTCCATTGTGATTGCTTTGTGATTTCACCATCTAATGGTTTCTGAAACATGTGTTGATGTGTTGCGTTGTGTTGTTAGTTTCACAAACTCGTTAGGGCTAGATGATCTTCTAAGTTGAGGTTACATTTCGACGAGGAATAAAGCTAGGAGTTGTCCCGAGTAATATCGATATGATAGGTTAAATCCTCATGTAAGCTGTGTAACTATTACAAACGCTAATGGTTAGGTGAACTAGGGAATTCATAGGAAAACACATTCAAATGTTGGAACGAGCTTACACATACAACCAACAACATAAGTTTTTGATAATGGCTTAAGATAGGTAGTTTCCTGCCTCCCCCCGTTAGCTCGAGACATCATCAGTCATTGATTTATACGGATATGGTATTCTATTCCATGTTGATTGCTTGTAAATTACCATCCCCCGATCTCAGAGTTATATGTTGCATTGTGTTGATCATATGGTATGCAGAAAGCAGTGTATAATTCCCCTGTCCAAGCTCTGTTGTTGCTTTGTGTCATGTCCAAGCTCTGTCCAAGCTCTTTTGTAGATGGAAATAGTGTGATCGTTGTTTCACCTATCGTAGAAGTGAAAAGGCGGCTAAGCATAAAGATGTCAGTCTCGAGCAGTCTTTGTTGCTAACGTTGCGATCTTATGTATGTGATGTAGCCAAAGTTCACGAGGTTCTTAAGTAATCGTAGTATATCGGAACACTCAAGTTTTTTGTATCTTCTTAGTGTGCATAACAAGATGAGTGGTGTGGTTGACACAAATGAGCGTGACCTCTCTTAAGAAGATTTACGATTGATCCATCTTAGCGGTCAGATTAACCAACCATACAAAGAAAAACCCAATACATAAACCACATCGACACTTGATTAGTGTAATGAGAATTGACAAAACTAAATACAAGATAACTAGATAACAACCCGCACGATGTGCGGGATGAAGTGATTCAAGTAAAATTATGGGAAAATTCCCAAAAGAAACCTCAATTATTTTTTATTTGGACGTTTAATACCTAATTGTTTTCGGTTGGAAAAAAATACACATATTAATAAAACTGTGCGATTTAATATCCAAACAATTAAATGTTATTATTTTCATACTCACGATCTCACAACAAAAATAAAATTCCAATTTTACCCTTACTATCTCAATTAATTATTAACTTTTAGATTACATGACAATAGTTTTTATTTAAATAAAAATTAATTTTATTAATTTTTCATTTCTTTGTTATCCCAAAAAAAATTCAAAAAAAAATTCAAAAAAATTTACAGTTTATTTTACAAATATTTAATTTTTAAAAATTAAAAATAAAATTAATTAGCAAAAAATTTAGAAAAAGTAAAAAACAAAATTAGCCATTTTTTTGAATTGATAAATCTTGAGAGAGACGATGAGATTCGGATTGAGATTTTGTCGAAAATAGTTTCATTCGTGAAGGATTTATATTCGAATAGAGAATTTCTCACGACGAAGAAAAAGTTCATATTGATGCTCGTTGATATCATATGCATCACGACGAATCAAATCAAATTAGTTTTATTGGCGATGAAGATTTTGGATAGGATTAAAAGGAGATTGTGAACGGTTATCGAATTTGATGGTTGCAAAAGAGGACGACGGAGGTTGTTTACCGGTAATTCTCGTAGATATTAATCGAAAAAATTAGAATCGAAGAGGAAACGTCACTTTGACATTGTAAAGACGGAATAAGATTGTACAAATGACTATTTTTAATATTTTTGATTTTCTGCTAATTTTTATGTTTAATTTTAAAATAAAATAATTATATAAATTTAAAATTTATTTTTTAGGCAACATAAAATAAAACATTAAAAAAATTAATTTTTACTTAAATAAAAAAATAATACCACATTATTTAAAAGTTAATAATTAATTGAGATGGTAAGGGTAAAATTGGAATTTGTTTTTTGTTGTGAGTTCGTGATTATGAAAATAACAACATTTAATTTTTTGAGTATTAAATCGCACAGTTTTATTAATATGTGTATTTTTCTTCCAACCGAAAACAATTGGGTATTAAACGTCCAAATAAAAAATACATGAGGTTTTTTTTGGGAATTTTCCCTTAAAATTATTATTTGAGATCCAAGATCCGTTTGTGTAAAACGAAACATGTTACAATTCTTTTTTGTTTTATTCAAATTTGGGACTATTTCATATAAGAATATGTTTTACCCGTGAAATATTTGAACTTTGAATAAAGCTTCAACGTGATAAAAAATTATTGACGAAATGTTACCATTTATGGCAATATGTCTATCCGTATGTTTTAAGGATTTCGAGATTTTGTAGTATAAAAAGAAATTTTTTTTTTTAATAAGTATAAGAAATCCAAAATTTAGCAAAGATGAGATTTGATAGTTTCCAAGCTAAGATTTTGTAGTGTTCCAAATCTAAGATTCTTAGATTATGAATGGATTAATTACGAAATGGTTATAATGTGGCCAGATTTTGGTTTATATACAAATGTGGTTATACTGTTTTTCTTCGAAAAGTTAGAACTCCTCCAAAAAATAGGATTTTAAGTATTTGTAACATATATAGAAAGGAGATTATCTTATTTATTTAAGTAAAAAATTTATGAAAGATGTAAAGATTTTGTAGTTTTGAATTCGAGTTTCTTGAGCCAAATGTATATATTTTATCATTTAAATATAAACATAAATATAAATATAAATAAAAAGATTGTTTACCCATCCGCTAAAGAAAATTTATATAAATGTATATAAAGAAAAATATAAATATAAAAATATAGTAATATAAGATAAACAAAAAGTGTATGTTTTTAATTATTAATGGGATATATGGATGTATGAGAATGAGACTAATGGCAAATTTTGTAAATAGTCTAATAAATCTTGGGTAATTATCTAAATAGAAGCCAAATCATTGTGAGAGCGACACATCAGCGTGGCGATCTTGTTAATAACACATGATGGTAAGGTTTTTTTTTAAAATGTTTCTCTATTAATATATAGGGGATATTCAATGTTATTTCTTCAATTTAAACAAGAATTTGATTTCATATTGGATCTTAACAAACAAATATGAAAATGTTCTCAGATTAAAATGTTATCTACGCAAAATTTATGGACCCGATCCTGCTATAAAACACGCAAAACATGTGCTTTAACCCATTATAGTAAGGTTCTCTTATAGTAATTACTTAATCCGAGGACCACATAATTAAAATCTCATTTTCGTGGTTTACTTTATGCAACTCTCGTAATGAGTTGTGTTTTGATCGATAATTCCATTTCTTAATGTTAGACTTGTATTTTCTTTCTTTACTTTTCTTTAATAATTTGTTTTCTATTTCATAAAATTAACTTTTTTTTTTCCTCTAGATTTATTATTTATTGCAAATTATGAGAACTGTTACATAGACGATTCTATGCTCTTGATGGACACTTCACTCTCTGCGTAGAATCCTGGCGAACGACTATAATTGTACATCGCTGGAGATCTCATGCACACTTGCCTCCAATAATCTGCAAATATATTAATAAATCGCAGTATCTGGGCCTCGAACCCCAGACCTCTGGGTGTAGAAGCATTAATTAACCCTTGATCAACCAATGGACCAAGGGGGCTTTCTTTTTCTTTTGTCATTTTTTTTGTATGGTTATCTTATATTTCGGACTTTATCATCAAATGTCTTGTTTGATCCTACTTTTTTTTTTGTTTTTTTTTTTGGATTTTACTTTATTTTTACGAGAACCAATTTTTTATAACAAACAAAACTCATGGTATAAATTTAATATGGACTCATAATACTATTGTTTTTATCTAATATATTTTTCTATAGTTTTTAATATTACATTCATAAGATAACTAAATGGTTAATTTGCCTAATAATCATATTTGGACCAAAAACTAACAAACTAACACCTTGATACAATATATAACAAAGTAACCATTTGTATATAAAAAAGGAGTTGACATTCTCTTCTTCTTCAACTTGATGTCCTCTTTTCCTATGTGGAGAAATAGAAATTTGTATCATATATCATCATTTTGCAATTAAATTTCTTCGTATATTTATTGGTTCAATCTTGCATAATATACAGAAAAAAAAATCTTTATTTCTTCGGATATGTTATAGTTTGAATGTTTTTAAATTGACAATTTTCTATTTTTTAAAAAAATAATAAGTGATTCCGAGTGTAAACATGTTGTTTTTACAAGGAAAAATAGTACTCCCTCTGTATCATAATGTTTGATTTTCTGATTTTCGCACACATATTAAGAAATATTTAATACAATGTTTTTTTTTTTCCGCTAATACAATGTTTTATTAACACTATTTTTCACTTCATTGATGTTCTATACCCAATAAAAATTAAGATATGTTCTCATTTTTAATGAAATTACATTTTTCAAAAAGAATTAGTTGTGATTTAAAAATAAATATATTGATTAGAGTGTAGAAAATCAATCATTGTGAAACAAAATAAAAATCTAGAAAATCAAACATTATGGTATAGAGGGAGTACTTTGTTATGTATAACATGTTTAGACATATAATAAATTATCCGATTTTTTTTTTCAAAAATTTATTGTTCCAATTTAAATTTTTTTAATTATAGTATACGAAATAATTTGTTGTTTTTTAGAATCGAGCAACTGAATCAATTTGTATTATTAAACTGAAACCAAAATGTATGATATTTTACTTTGATATTTGTGTGTGATTATAAAAGAAGCCATTTTATGGTAACATCGACGTAATCTCTTAAAATCTCCAGTAAAATTTACTGAACCAGTATGATTGTGTAAAGTTGGGTGTCAATTTGTCATATCAGTTTAATAAAAGAAAAATCAAAATTTTAAATAGTGAGAGAGATACCAGTGTCTTTATCATAGGAATTTAAATCAGGTGGTCGTATCCTAGTAATAGAGATACCAATGTCTTTATCATAG